AGACAGGCTGGATGCATCCTGGAGCCCTCCTGCAGTCCCTCCCTGACTCTGATCATGCACTGGTGGGGTCCCTCGTCCTGGCCTGCACCCTCTCGCAATCTGGGACTCCTCAGATGATGTCAGAGAGCCTGTTTAGGCCCAGTCCCTGCAAGACAGCCCAAGGGACCCCACCGGTGCATGAATCGATGCACTGGGCTTCTAGTATAGTATAGTATAGTATAGTATAGTATAGTATAGTATAGTATAATAAGGAATAGTATATACTAGTATAGTTTCTATAAATGCTAAAGAAACCACTGTTTGAAAAAGAAAAATTTCGGATTCCAAAATAATGTCACATGTTTAATTTATCAGATACTAATTGATTATATACTGCTTGTCTAGTCCTTTACTTAAATTCTATGGAAAATAAAGAGGAGACAAAAATTATTCTTGCTCTCAAGGCCTTTATAGTAAGTGTAAATAGGATTAACATGTGTGAAGCAATAATTAACAATATAGGATAGTGTTTAAATTGTGTGGTATGAGTCATAAGTAATGAAGGAATTAAGAGGAAAAACATATTCATAAAGACTAATTGAGGGAAGGTTTCCTAAAGGAAGAGTGGTTATGTATCCTTTTTTTATTTGGGACATTACCAAATTATGTCTTTGTCCTACCATAATTGGTAATAGCACCCTATTTTACTTTTAAATATCCATTTCAACCATCAATTATATGGTCACCTTACCCAAAGGGATTGGAGATTTTAAACTATAATTTCAATGTTGGTACTAAAGAACTGAAATAAAATTTAGTTTTATGAAACATTTTTTTTCCTTTCAGCGTGTCATTGTGCAGAGAATTTTGCCTTGCTTGACTTCAGAATTTGTAAACCCTGACATGGTACCTTTTGTTTTGCCTAATGTTCTAATGATTGCTGAAGAATGCACCAAAGAAGAATATGTTAAATTAATTCTACCTGACCTTGGACCTGTCTTTAAACAGCAGGAGCCAATACAAGTATGTATATAGATAATTTTCCTATTTATCTGCTGTTATTCAGTGATATTGGTCAACGGAAACTATCATGGAAAACAAGGAATATATGACTTTTAAAAAATTGAGATAAATATGAGACTTCTTTTCCATTAGTCACCTATTTTTCATGTTTGAAGTGAACCAATCTTAAGATTATAATTGAACTCTCCAAGTAAATGTCTGCAGTTCTCTATAAGTTCACCTCTCAGAAAATTAATTATAATGAGATTGTACATGTGTTATGCTGCTCCCATTGACCTTATTAAAAGTTACAGGTTTGGAAAAAGAAGTATATCTTTTTCTCCTATACACCTAAGTGTTTTTATTTGTTTTTTGTTTGTTCTATTATTCAGGGTTCTTTATTTATATAGATTTATGCCAGTGTTTTCTCTTTTATTTTACTTAAAAAAAAAAAAAATTGATTTTTTGCAGAGAGGAAGAGAGAGGGATAGAGAGCTAGAAACATTGATGTGAGAGAAACATCGACCAGCTGCCTCTTGCACACCCCCTACTGGGGATGTGCCTGCAACCAATGTACATGCCCTTGACCGGAATTGAACCTGGAACCTTTTAGTCCGCAGGCCTACGCTCTATCCACTGAGCCAGACCGATTTCGGCTCTTTTATTTTACTTTTAATGAAGAGTTTCATTAGAAAAGGGAAAATGCTTATTGCACCCAAAAATAATATATGTGTGTATTGTAAATGAAAAACATAATTAGTGTCTGATGTAAACTATGTTACAATATTTATTTGCCACATTCAAGGTGGTCTTGGATTTAAGAGCAGTAGGATCATATACCTGGGTTTGAATCTATCCTTTATCTCCTTACTTCAAGTCCTTAATCTTTTAAAGCTTCCATTTTGCTCATTTCCAAAATGAAAGAGGCTGTTGAGAGTAAATGAAATTTTCTGGCACGTTGTAAATTATTACTTGCTTTTGCCACTACATGGCAATCACTTATTAATAAACTATCAGCTACCTGATTTAATGGTTTTGTGGCAGGCGGTTTACAATCCTTCCCTTCAAAGGAGTGGGACAGAAAGAAGTCTTCGTGGTAAGGCAGGCATTCCTGTGGCTAAGTAAAAGGCAGATGAAGGAACTGGTAACTTGGAAGCAGACTCACGCAAACAGTGTTAAAATATCAGGAGGGAAAATAGCGGAGCCACATGTCCACTAAGCTATGCATTAGTCAATATAGTATCCCAAGGATACCATTTGAATTCTTATTTGCCTCCGTTCTTTGGTATTCTTTTCCTCCGCAGTAGTCTAGCTAAAAATTTCTTTTGAAAAATTCTAACCGAGCCTTAGCAAGTCTTAAGTATTCTTTATGAACAAAAAAGGCAGTTTGTTCCTTATACTTTAGGTAGATGGTGGCAGCTAGGTCAAAAAATGAACGGAGACATTTTCTAGAGTTTTTCCTGACTCTTCTCTTAATTCCTATACCTTTTCTTCTCTTGAGCTTCATGGAAACCAAGTGACAGAATTTACTTTTGGGGGCCATATGATTTTGTTGCCCTGAGGCTTTTATTTCTTTTTTTTAAATTTATTTATTGATTATGATATCACATAATTGTCCTCATCCCCCCATTCCCATCCCAAATCCCTCTCCAGGTTTACCCAGTTGTTTTCCAGATAGTTGATACTTGTGGGTGAGTGACATATTACTGAAGATTTGTGAGAGTTAGACATTAGTCTTTATTTAAATGCCTAAACTGAGAGCAGATGTTAAATATTCTGTAAGAGACTTGATTTGTATGTTTTTGTCTTCCATGCCCTCAGGCTAGCAACATGGTGAGTGTGAAAATATATAACTTATTCTTTAGAATTTTATTCTTTAGAATATTCTTTTAATTTTGGCGTGCATAAAATCATGTAAAGATTCTGGAATTTAATGAATTATTTCCTTTTTCTACACAGATTTTGTTAATTTTCTTACAAAAAATGGATTTGTTATTAACCAAAACTCCTCCTGATGAAATAAAGAACAGTGTCCTACCAATGGTTTACAGAGCACTAGAGGCTCCTTCCATTCAGATCCAGGTATAATATTTGATTTCTTCCCCCCTTTAGTGATGATTTTGATTCTTAAAGCAAAAGAAAATGTAAAGTACACTTTGGATTTGAGTCATAAAATCTTTCATATAAATAACTCAGTAGTATATGTTAATCCATTGAATTGCATCATACACAGTTACTAAAATGTACCCACTCTTAGCTAATTTAATTTTTCTCTGAGCACCGCCTTTGAATAGCATAAGGGTTGTCACATGGAAGAATTGGCTTGCCCTGCACAATCTCAAAAGTAGACTCAAGACCAATTAGTGGCTTCTTCAGAGAGTTATATCTGTCCAGTGTGAGGACAGCTTTATGACTCACAACTGTTCCTTCCAGATTGTGTCTGATCCTCCAGTTCTGTGACTTGTGATACCACCCCTGGAGCTTGGTGATGCTTATAACTGTGATCCTTATAAAGTTGTTGCCGACATAAGCCAGTTTCACAGTGCCATGATCCAGAAACAGTTCAGCTAACAAAAATTCCCATGAGTTCTTCATTAATATGCTTACATGCTTCATAGCAATAATCACCCATTTCTTTCCTATCCATGCCTCCTGGTCCCTCACTTACTTCTGCACTGAAAACTTCCTCAGCCCAGTTGTTTCCCTTTCCTTTTTTTTCTCTCATTTCTTTGTCACCGAAGTCCTCATAGATTTGGTTTCTCTTGGGTTTGGGGGCATTTTGGTATGGAGGGCCTTATGGGAAACTAGTGAATTTGTCCATTTTGGATGATAGACCATTTTTCTTTCTTTTGGCAGAAGTAAGAAGTTCCTCTTTCTCCTTCACTCTCCACATCTAATCCAGTCATCTAATGTAAATGCAGTGCTTGAGGCTAGAGATGGCACATGAGCTAACCAACCAGTTAAATTATATTCTACCTTCTAACTTTTCTAGACCCTGCCCCTGCTCTCTTCCACACTATCACAGCCCTATTTTAGGATGCCTTTGAGTCTTATAAGAATTTCTTCAATCCTCCTTTCAGGTCTTAGAGTTTTGCCACTTTATATTACAACTATACACAGATCTTTCTAAAATTGTTCTAGAAGTCAGATCTGAGCACTTCTCTGCTTAGAGTACTTATGGTTTTCCAGCTGTCTTCAATGCAATCCAAGCACCTATTCCTAGCATGTGAGCCCTCCCTGGGTGGCTCCGTGACATTCCAGCTTCATCCATTTTTTTTCCTTTTCTTATATTTTATTGATTTTTTTACAGAAAGGAAGAGAGAGGAATAGAGAGTCAGAAACATCGATGCCAGAGAATCATTGATCAGCTGCCTCCTGCACACTCCCTATTGGAAATATGCCTGCAACTAAGGTACATGCCCTTGACCGGAATCGAACCTGGGACCTTTCAGTCTGCAGACCGACCCTCTATCCACTGAGCCAAACCAATCAGGGCTCACCCATTTTTCTAAACACATTAACTATAGCCGGGACCGGTTTGGCTCAGTGGATAGAGCGTCGGCCTGCAGACTGAAAGGTCCCGGATTCGATTCCGGTCAAGGGCATGTACCTTGGTTGCGGGCACGTTCCCAGTAAGGGGTGTGCAAGAGGCAGCTGACCGATGATTCTCTCTCATTGATGTTTCTAACTCTCTATCCCTCCCTCTTCCTCTCTGTGAAAAATCAATAAAAAAAAAAAATAAAAAAAAATAAAAAACACCTTAACTATAAGTAGTTCCCCACCATGCCCCCCTCTGAGCCTTTGCTCAGGCTGTGTGGTCTACTGGGGATGCCTTTTCCTCACAGATATCCACATATCTTTGAGAACTTGACTTGAGCATCACCACTCTAGGGAACCTTCTGACCCCCTCCGTCCAATGAATGCTCCCTTCTTTGTGCATCTCTGTTCTCCCAATGGACTTTCACCTGTAAAATCCCTGCATCAATTCCATCTTCTTCCCACCGAGGCTGGGTTCTGGTTGTGACTGGGTTTCTACCTATCACTGGCAGGCTGTACTGGGCTGGATCCACCACAAACCCCAGTAAATGTTGAAGGAATGAAAGTACTGTTGGGGCCATCACACTTCGTAGGGAGATCTGGTGCATTGGAGTTAGATGAACTTGAGTTAAACCACAAACACTCCAAGACCTGTGTGCTCATGGGCAAGTCATTGGAATTCTGAACCTCAATTTCCTCAGCTCTGTCTACCTCTCAGGATTCTGTGAAGTAACATGTGAGGTTCCTGGTACAGTGCCTGGCTTACTATAAGGGGTCAAATATGTATCACTCTGGCAGCCAAGAAGCAGAGAAGGAAAAGGTGTCCAGTTAGTGAGCAGGGGGTCAGGAGTGGGCTGTAAGGGGGTAGGAATACAAATCTCTGAGACCCCAGTGTGCTTGGGTTCCTAAAACCATGCTGGTCACCTGCTCTGTTGTGAGCAAAGTCAAGTTAGGGGGATGGGAGTGAGGTTGACAGATCACAGGTGCCAAGGCCAAGCCAACCCCTGGCTGCTGGAATGGACCAGCACCCAGTGACATCACAATCCTGAGTAGTTGCTCTGGCAATGCTGGAGGGGGAATATTTCTCTCCATGGAGCTCTAGGATGTGGATGTGAGAAAGTGAGCAAGGAAGGCAGATGACTACGAGGAACAACCTGAGCTCCATGCCCACGGGCACGGCTCATGGTGACAATGGAGAGGCAGGAACGCTGTCAGCTCCTGATGCTGGCATTCGGGACACAAGTTCAGCCACTCAGCTGAAGATGAAGCCCAAGAATGTACACAAGATTAAGGCACTCATTGTCGACCTGGGCTCGCAGTACTGTAAGTGTGGCTATGCAGGAGACCCAAGGCCCACCTACTTCATCTCCTCTACAGTGGGCAAGCCCTGTGAGGCCACTGATGTGGGCGATGCCCGCAAGGAGATGTATGTGGGCCACGAGCTGCTCAACGTTGAGGCACCCCTGAAGCTGGTTAACCCTCTAAAACACGGCGTGGTGGTGGACTGGGACTGCGTTCAGAGCATCTGGGAGTACATCTTTCACAAGGCCATGAAGATCCTCCCCGAGGAGCACGCCGTGCTGGTCTCCGACCCCCCGCTCAGCCCCAGCAGCAACCGGGAGAAGTATGCGGAGCTCCTGTTTGAGACCTTTGGCATCCCCGCCATGCATGTGACATCCCAGTCATTGCTGTCCATCTACTCCTACGGCAAGACCACCGGGCTGGTGGTGGAGAGCGGACACGGTGTCTCAAATGTGGTCCCCATCTCAGAAGGCAACGTGCTGCCAGGCCTGACTGGCAGTGTTGACTATGCCGGGAGCGACCTCACCAACTACCTGCTGCAGCTGCTCATTAAGGCCGGCCTCAAGTTCACCAAAGACGACCACTTGCACATCCTTGACCACATTAAGAAGATGTGCTGCTACTCGGCTTTCCAGCCTGAGGAGGAGCTTGGCCTGGACCTGGAGGAGCTGCGCGTGGACTACGAGCTCCCAGATGGCAAGGTCATCACCATTGGCCATGAGCGCTTCCAGTGCGCCGAGATGCTCTTCAATCCCACCCTGGTGGGAAGCATCCAGCCCGGCCTCCCTGCACTCACAGCCACTTGCCTGGGCCACTGCCAGGAGGCGGGCTTCAAGGAGGAGATGGTTGCAAATGTGCTGCTGTGTGGTGGCTGCACCATGCTGGAGGGCTTTCCTGAGCGCTTCCAGAGGGAGCTGAGCCTCTTGTGCCCTGGGGACAGCCCTGTAGTGGCTGCAGCTTCTGGGAGGAAGACCTCCGTGTGGACTGGTGGCTCCATCCTGGCCTCCCTGCAGGCCTTCCAGCAGCTCTGGGTCAGCAAGGAAGAGTTTGAGGAGAAGGGCAGTACAGCCATCCACACCAAGTGCTGAGTGGAAGCCGACAGGCCAGGCCTCGTGGGCAGGCAACCTCTACCTTTACAGAATTTCACATAAAATTTTAACACAATGGCTCTTGTCTAGTCCGGATTTCTTGCTTTCATCTGATAGCAGAAGGTTGTGGGGAGTTGGGTTTAGAGGTACCAGTACCTTTTGCTCTGCTGCATCGGGAGCAGCAGGGGTGGGGAGTAGGTGGGAGGGGCTCCCCTTACTGGCCCCTCACCTCCGGCAGGTGACATCTCAGAGCCCAGAGTTTGGCTTCTTGTTCCATTAGCTCCTCAGGGTTCAAAACCCAATTCAGCAGACACATTGCTAGCTCGTCCATGGATCAAGGGGGAAATGAAGGCTCAGATTAAGGTGTCACGTAGTTAAGTGGTGGGGGGGACACTCAAAACCAGGTATCTGACTTCCATCTCCTGTTTCTGGTAGATGTGTGTCTGCCTGTAGGTTCATCATTGCTTGATTGCCCTGCTCCCTCACTAACCTCCCCTCACTGCCTGCCGCCACCTTCAGAGGCGCAGCCCACAGGTGTGTGTCTCCTGAGCGTGAGGGGCCTTTTCTATCCATCCGCCTTTCCAATTCAGCCAAAATTGCGACTTTTTTTGCAGTGACAAAGTAGAGCCACTGGATCCAGAGGATGTTGGAGGAACCAGAAGGTCCCTTGGAAATCATGTGGTTCTCTCCCTCCTGTAGAGGTGGGGACACTGACGACTAGGAGGGAGGGGTCCATGTCAGTGGATGAGTCCAGGTCTTCTGTCCCAGGTCATGATTATTTCCTGAAGGGCAAATGTGGTTGCTTTAGTTTGGGCTGCTATAACAAAATACCACAGGCCACGTGGCTTATAAACAATAGAACTTTATTTCTTACAGTTCTGGAGACAAAATCTAAGATTAGGGTGGCAGCAGCACCAGGTTTTAGTGAAGGCCCTCTTCTGGGTTGCCAACTGCTGACCTCTTGCTGAGTTCTCACATCATGGAAGTGGTCTTTTAACTAATTTAAAGAATCAATTTGCAAATACCTGTATTAGTGAAGCAAAATGAGTCATTGCTTTTACTTATCAGAAATGTACTATTCTGGAAGGTTTGATTGATTATAGTTTAGATTATTATATACTTTCTTCCTACATGAATATTTTACATGTAAATGAAAATGTCAAATATGTATGTGCCTTTTTCTTATGAAAATACCAAGTAATTCTTCCCATACTCATAATTTTCTTTCATGCTTGGTAACTTAATTTTCTGTTCAGAAATGTTCCTTCTGCATTGAAGCTAATTTGTGTAGCAGGTAGGTAGAAAAGCAAACAGTAATTTAGTGTAATCATTCCTAATTTACTTTGCTTTTGTGTCACAAAAGTGATGTTAAAACATCATGCACTTTGCCAAACTTAGTTTTGTAGTTTTGCTATTAAAATTTGATTCTATGGCTGGCTACATGGGAAGAAATTTTGGATTACTATTAAAGGTATAGTGTTTTGTTTTTGTTTTTTTACTTTGAAAAATATATACTTAACTAGGGCTCCTGCGAAATTCATGCACTTTGGGGGGTGGGGGTGAAGAAGGTGTCTCTCAGTCCAGTCTGTGCCCTCTTTCAGTCCGAGGGGATGTCTGACTGATGGCTTAGGCCTGCTCGGCCAGGGAATGGGTCTAAGCTGTCAGTTGGACATCCTTAGTCCTGCTATGGAGCCAGAAGAGGCTCCCAACACCGCCACTGCTCTCACCAGTCATGAGCCTGGTTTCTGGCTGAGTGGCGCTTCCCCTGTGGGAGTGCACTAACCACCGGGGGCAGCTCCTGCATTGAGTGGGATCAGGCTATAACTAGCTCTCCAACATTCTCTGATGAGTCCTGGATTGTGAGTGCACAGGCCAGGCCAAGAGACCCCACCGGTGCACAATTAGGGACCTGGAGGGATACGGGAGGTTGGTCAGCTAGGTAGGGACCATGGGAGGGCTCCAACGTTGTGTCTGGCCCGTCTCACTCAGTCCAGATTGGCGGGACCCCAGCAGCAAGCTAACCTACCAGTTGGAGTGTCTGCCCTCGGTGGTCAGTGCATGTCATAGCAACTGGTTGACTGTCCCCTGGTGGTCAGTGCACATCATAACAATTGTTGACAGGTCGACTGTCTGCTCCTTGGTGGTCAGTGCCCATTATAGTGAGCGATTGAGCAGTCTTAGCATATCATTAGCATATTACCCTTTGGTTGGTTGAACAGATGACTGGATGACCAGACACTTAGTATATTAGGCTTTTATTATATAGGATATTAAGAACATTCTACTATAAAAATGGTTCCAAACGTTTTTCATTTCATTGCTAAATAATATATAAATATAAAAATTCAATATAGATTATAGTAAAGAAAAACAGAATTTTAATTTTTAAAAGTTATTAACCATAGTTTTCCTTAATGTGAGCCTAATACCACATGTATAAGGTAATTTTTTTTTTTTTTTTTTTTTACTAATTTCAATTATTTTCTGCTAAATTCTTTTGTTTAATGTTGTGAAGTTAAGTTAAAAATTTTATTTTTATAAGGGCATGCTTTCTAAAAGGCAGGGATATGTTGCCTTTGTCCAAATGACATGGGTTATTGGAAAGGGTACTTCTACTTTTTAGCCCTTTCCAAAGGAGTTGTCATTTAAAGCTTCTTGAAACATTCCCACAGGCTCTGTAGCCAACCTAGTTTTATATTCAGTGAGATTAGGAAGGAGAGGAAAGGTTAAGTGAATTAAAAAGGCCATTTTTTTCTTAATAAGGGCTTAGTTTTGCCAATAGGTATCAGCCAGTATTTTATTGAGATACTTAAACCACCATGTATGATATTAAATATTAATGGCCCGGTACATGAAATTCATGCACAGGTAGGGTCCCTAGGCCTGGCCGGCTATCAGGGCTGATCTGTGGAGTGACGGGTGGAGCAATCTGGCCACCTGCTTGCCAGCCCCGCCCCCAGCCCCCAGTCACCTCCTTCTGCAGAGTGACTGGCGGGGTGACTGGGTCCCCCGCCCCTCCTGGCATCGACCTTAGCTGGCTTGGGACCTCCTGGCTGGAGGCAGCTCCTTTGTTGAGCGTCTGCTCCCTGGTGGTCAGTGGTGTCATAGTGACCTATCATTCTGCTGTTCCGTCGATTTGCATATTGGGCTTTTATTATATAGGATAAGTGTTTAGTCACCAGTCCAATGAACTTGCATCAAACCTTGCTTGGTGAAGAGTCTGATAAAGTTAAAGCCTGTCTAAACTTTGGGAGATTCCTAGAGCAAGAGCAAGATACAGAAATCTTTTCCTCAAGCTTTATGCAGGTATACGGCTGGAAATTCGTTTTTGGAGTGATATTTTTGTAGAAGTTTGATGTATTTAACAGGCTAGAGAGAGATTAGAAATACATTTGGAAAAGAAGGAGATGGTTAACAAAAGTTAGGGTTCTTAGAGGCATTAATAGAAATCTATCTGTACCAGTTTTCTTACATTATTTACCTTTAAGATTAAACATAGAAGCTATGTTCGTTCTTCTCTCCCCACCATCAATTACAGAAAAAGTTAAAATACAAGGCAGAAGTTCCTGAGAATGTGCTAATCCTTGGGTTCTTCATCCTGTCTCCTATGGAGAGAGCTCTCCTTTCCTTTTGCTAAGTGACTTAATCATAATTCAAGATTTGCCTCTTTGTAACCTATTGCTAGATTATACATCATAGTTCTCTTTCTATCTCCCCTCCCCTTCTCAATTAAAGACTGATCTTCCTTAAGAAGGCACCCTTTGGTAACGAGCACAGTTTCTTACTGACTACTCACCCTTCTTAATTGTCTCCCACCAGTGGAAAATGGGTCCTTAAATGTAGCTTGTATTTCTTATCCTCAGTAATGCCACCCATGGAATTATTATAGTTCTGAGTGGATATGAACATATAACTCTATTTGCCTTTTGAAAATCTGGGAATAAGTTAAATACAATAAAAATGCTTCCCAGTATTTTGATAACAGATTCTTAGTAGTTAACTTGTTTCTGTCTGCTAATTACAAATGAATGTGTTTAACAGGTATTGTCAAAAACTCCTTCTCTGATACACATTTATACTTCCATTTTCTTTAGTAATCCCTCTGCTATGCTTTGCTACAAGGATCATTCTTGCCCTTCTAAGGCATCTGAGATGTTCTTCAGCCAGTTGATTCTCAGCCATTTTGGTTCTTTTCCTTATCTCACTTAGTCCACTTAACCTCAGTCATCCTCCTTTTTCCTATTATCCTCAGACTTCCCAGTTCCAATTATTTACACTGTGGCAAGGCATTAGTTAACAAGAATGTTTTAAATAACTTTTACTTGTTTCTGTGAGTTATACTTGCTTATGTTTCAGAATTTAAAAGTACTTAAAAACATAAAGAAAATTAAAATCATCTCTCAGAGAGCCTACAGTTAACATTTCTAAGTATCCTCCCAGGCTTTTATCCTAAGCCTAGAGACAGACACATGTACATATACCTTTTAAAAATTGGGGCTATATAATAGTGTCTTATTGCATTTTCTCCCCAATATTATTAAACAATGTTTTAAAATATATTTAAAAAACGTTTATATTACATTCTATCGTATGGATATATATAGCAGCTAAGAAATTCCTTATTTAAGAGTAATATTGTAGTTTTACATAACTTTTATTTTTAATTTCCCGTCTTTGTGAAAGATAGCAAAACTTAGGTATTCCCAAGTTTCCTATTTTTAAAAATAAATTAAGGATTCTATTATTAGGGAAAGAAATTAGGAATGAGACCAGGGGATTGTGGTATTCTACGCTAGTTTTAGGACCTAGTATAGTTTTGAGTAAGGTCTTCTGAGCCTGTTTTCTCATCTGTAAAATTGAAAACTGAAAATAACTATTATTTCAAGTAGTTATTGAAAGGACAGAATGATATAATGTACATAAAAGTTTTTCAAACTATGTGTCAAATTAGCCATGCAAATGCGAAATATTTTTTAATATGTGAGAAAAAAGATGAGTCCTTAAGACTGATCCAATTAATTTTCTTAATAGGAGCTCTGTCTAAACATCATTCCAACCTTTGCAAATCTTATAGAC